CACACACACACACACACACACACACACACACACACACACACACACACACACACACACACACGCACACACACACACACACACACACACACACGCACTTGCCCCCCCTCCCCCAGGACACTGTGTCCATCATACTGTTCAATGTGCTGCCCTCCATGATTGACATCCTCGTGGCCTGCTCATACCTGGCAGGACGGTGCGTCGGCACTGTGCGTTCATGTATATGCGTGTGAATGTGTGCATGAATGTATGTGTGGTTGAATGTGTGCGTGAGTATGTGTGTGTGCGCACGTGCGCATTTGCGTGTATTTTCGTACTTGTGCGTGTGGTTGAGGGCGCGTGTTGGATCGGCGTTGTAGTTCGAGCGTGTGCGTACGTCCACACGTGCGCAGGCCGCGGCGGCAACACCCCGCCTTGCAGCAGTCCAGACCTGGCAAGGTGCTGAGCTGCACCGCTAGCGGTGGCCAATGATCGCGTTTATCCCGCCCAGGTTTTGGCCCCGTTTCCAGCCCTTGGACTTTCTGATCAGTTTGATCCATTGTGTCCGGCCTTTGGCTTAACACTACACTGACCGCAACGCACTGCACTGCACGGGACGTCCCTGCCTCCCCCTCTTGCCCCGCCAGCATGGAGCCCTGGGTGGCGCTGATCGTGCTGGTCACGGTCTCAAGCTACGTGCCGCTTACTGTCATCATCACGGAGCGTCGCGGCAGGGTGAGCGCCCCCCAGCCAGCGCCTGCGGCCCCAGCGCTTGGTGGACCGTGGCCGCTCGCAGCCGCTGCGCTCGTGCTGCGTTCTGCGTGGCATGTGGCGTCCGTGCGGGCGCTCTTGGGGCCCCCGCTCCTGCGGCGTCACTCGGGCGGCGCCACTCTGCCGCCTCACCCATGTCTCGACATCCACTGACCTTGCCCTTGTTTATTGGCTGCTGCCGCTGTCTCATTTACGCCAGGTGCGCAAGGTGATGAACGCCCTGGACAACGAGAGGGAGGGCCGCGCCACAGACGTGCTGCTCAACTACGAGACGGTGCGTTGCGGGGCTCTGGCTGGGTCATGCACAGCTTGTGGGCATGGTCAAGGGGGTGGGTTGGCGCGCCCCTGCTCACTGGGGGTTGAATCGGACGGGGCTGAGTGGTTCCAGGGAACCTGACTCATCTGCTTTGTTGAGCGCGTAGCCCTCGAAGAGACAGCCCGCAGCATTGCGGCGCAGCTTGCAGCAGGCGAGTGCTTCTAGCGGTTTGACCGGGGTTGACCGGGGGCAACAGCCGCGGCCCTCGGCCATCCCTCGAGCAGGTCAAGTACTTTGGCAACGAGAGTTTTGAGCTGGCCGGCTACGACACCGCCACCAGAAAATACCAGGCAAGGACGGGGCGGGCCGGGTCTGAGAGGGGTTGCTGCCTGTTCTTTGTTCTGGAGTGCAGCAGGGGTTGCTTGACAGGCTTTTGCTTATGATCGAAGCGAGTTATTCAACATCACCCCTCCCCCCTCCGGGCCGACCTGCCTGCCTTGTTCCGCGGCTGCCGCCACGCTGCTGTGGCCCTGCCGGCCAAAACACCCCGCTGCCCCATTCTTCCACAATTGCTGGCCCCCCGCCGGCCTCCTGCTTAAAACAAGAAAACCCATGTTTTAATTCAATACCGTGACCCCACCTCTATTGCTTTACAACTGTAACCTTCCTCCTTTCAACCAACAGGCTGCCGAGTACTGGCAGATGGTGTTCCTCAGCCTCCTCAGCATGGTCCAGAGCTCAGTGGTATGGGTCGGCATGGCGTCAGGTGCGACACAGCACAGCCGCCCTCGTCCGTCCGCCCTGCCGCGTGCTCCCCTACAAAACCGCGGGCCCGGCTCTATCTCGGTAGCGCCTTTCGGCCCAACAGGCTCGTCTTCCGACCCTGGTTGCGGGTGCGTGGGTCAAGGATCGGGCGCCCACGAGCACGCAATAGCACCCTTCCCCACACCTTTGCCCCGGTCTGGCCCAACCGTCCCCCAACCAACCCAACTCTCTCCTCCCTGCAGGCTTGGCCGTGTGCGTGCGCGGCGTGGCGCGAGGGAACCTCACAGTGGGCGACACGGTCCTGTTTGTGACCATGATGCAGCAGCTCTACGTGCCCCTCACGTTTTTCGGGAGCTACTACAGACAGGTGCAGCAGAGGGCGGTGCTGCAGGAGGCGGTGCTGCAGGGGCCAGTTCGGCAGGAGGCAGCGCTGCGGAGGGCAGCGCTGCAGGGGCCAGTGCTGCAGGGGGCAGGGCCGCCTGGCGTCGCCCTGAATCGTATGCGGCACCATCCGGCGCTGTGCTGCACTGCAACCTGCTTCCTGCCGTCCTGCCAGCAGGCCGTCAGGGCTGGCTTGAACAGAGGGCTTGGCGGCGCCGCCAGCGGGGTGGTGTCGGGGACAGGCGCTGTCTGGGCTAGCCTGGCCTTCGACCCGGCACTCGTCGTCAAGGGGCCGTCCACCCGTGCGTCAACGAAGCAGCTCCGCCGGTTTCAACCGTCCGGCAGCTTTGACCCGTGCCGCCTGCCCCCCCCCCCCACACACACACACAAAAGCTTGCCCTATCATCAACCTCGATTTCACTGTTGCTATCCCAGCCCGCCAAGCGCGTGACCTATTACCACACACGGTCACACCTCAGCTGTGCCCCTACTTCCCTCCCCGGATCCCACTCTTTGAACAAACAAACAAACTTGCATTACGATCGACAATCACACCCGTCCCCCAAGACGTAACCTACGCCCAAATGTAACCTCCCCCCCAAAACCGCCCCAGGTCCAGAAGGCCCTCATTGACATGGAGAACATGTTTGAGCTGCTGGCCACTGAGCCGCGCACCAAGGACGACCCGGGGGCGCCGCCGCTGCGCGTGACGGAGGGGCGCGTGGAGTTCAGGAGCGTGGTGTTTGGCTACCACGTGCACAGCCCCGTGTTGAAGGTGCGGGGCAAGGCCGAAAAAAAAACCATGCGTCATGGGCATGGTTTATCGTGTGAGGCTGCTGCCAAGCGCACGCAAGGTGCATGCCACCATGCGCAACACGGGAACAGCGGCCGCACGTTGCACTGGGGATGGACGATGCGTCAGCGGCGCTACCCAAGCAAAGGTTTGCTTTACTGCAGCCAGACCCCTGCCAAGTGCTTGTGATAGTGCATACTTGCGGCTGTGTCCGGCCGCCTTCTGCCCCCAATCAAAAGCCTTGCCCCGGCCGCCCCGCTGCGCCAGGGTGTGTCTTTCATGGTCCCGGGCGCGACCACGCTGGCGGTGGTGGGGTCCACTGGCAGCGGCAAGAGCACAATTCTCAGGTGACGCCACACCCCTGCAGCGCGCGCTGACGGGGATGACGATACGCGATATCAGCCGTGGCGCACAGTGACATGTGCACGCGCAAAGGGGTGGAAGGGCACTGTTTTGCAGCATGCCGCCCCCAGCAAAAGGGGATGAGTGGCAGCGGCGCACCGCGCCAAGCCCCTTCGCGCCTGCCTGATTCACTCAGACCTTGTGTCGCTCATTCATCACCAAGTCCCTAAGCGCCAACGCCCCTGCGCACCCCCCCCCCAAACCCACCGTCCTCCTCTTGTGGCACCACGCGGGTGACACACCCAGGCTGCTGCTGCGGTTCTATGACCCCCAGTCTGGCGGCGTGTTCATCGACGGCTCAAACATACGCCACGCCACACAGGCCAGCGTGCGCGCGGCCACCGCCGTCGTGCCGCAGGTGGGTGCGGGTTCACGCCCACGCATTGTGCCCGCGCAGCTGTTGTCGTGCAGGGCAGGGGGGGATTAGGAGTGCGGTGAGCAGCACGCCCGCCGCGTGCAACGCGCAGCTATGTGATGCTGTGTCGCTGGGGCCCCGCGCCCTCGCCCCCCCCCCTCGTGGGCGGGCCTGCCAGCCCCGGCCGCCACTAGACTGGTGCCAGCCACCGGATCACCACATCGTGGACGTCCGCCTTGTCCCATTCAAGCGGCTGAGTCTCCCTCGGCCGCTGTATAATCCACCATAATCGCCGCCTCGTGCCCTGCCACAGGACACCGTGCTCTTCAATGAGACCGTGATGTACAACATACGCTACGGCCGCCCCAGCGCCACAGACGCGCAGGCGCGTGCGATCGCGCGCGTTCTTGGCACGGCTGCGGCCTGGCAGGCCCTCCTGCGCGCCCGGGACTTTGGTGCCTTTCACACACAGCAGCTGCATGGACAGTATGTTGGCGGTTGTGTTTACCACATTGCACATCGTGTTCTTGCCTGCCTTTTCTGCCATGCCTCGTTCAATCCGAGAGCTGGCAGCGGCGCTGAAAGGAGGCCACTGCCACTGCCACCACCAACCCAAACCCCCCCTCCCAATGCATCCAACTTAACCGCTACCCAAACTCAACCAACCCCACGACCCCCAAAGCGCAAACCTGAAATCCCCCCAAACCAAGCCCTGCAACCCATGTGAACTCAAAACCTGAAGTTTCCTCAACCAAACCAAACCCGCCCCTCACAGGTGTACGAGGCCGCGCGTGTGGCCCACATCCACCAGCACCTGCTGTCCTTCCCAAACGGCTACGCCACGCGCGTAGGCGAGCGCGGCCTGCGGCTCAGCGGCGGGGAGAAGCAGCGCGTCGCATTCGCGCGCGCCGTGCTCAAGTGAGCGGGCGCGCCCGCCGGGTGGGCGTGGTCTGCATAAGTCACAGGCTGAGCCAGCTGGGGCCGAGTGGCTAGGGGGAAGGGGGCCCAGGGGCGGGGCCGTCGGTCGGTCAGCACCACCATGCTTTATCCCCAGCCCCTGACCTGCATCCCCATTTAGAAACGAGGTGAACGTGTTACTTCTGGACCCTCAACATGTACGTTGTATCCGACCCCTGGCTCTCGCGACTTCTCGCTCCTCCCCTCCCCCCCCCATAAAAACAACACCCAGGGGCCCCGCTGTGCTGGTCCTGGACGAGGCCACCAGCGCCCTCGACAGCCTCACAGAGCGACTCATACAGTCGTCACTGCAGGTGGGCCCCGCGGCGCGCCGCGCCGCGCCCTGCCCCGCACCTCCGCCTGGCTTCCCGTGAACAGCCTCTCGGGGCGCCCCAAACTCGACCGCATCAAGAGGGCCCAGTGCCTTGGCTTTGGACGTGTTGTGTTGGGTGTGCCCCTGTCGCATGCACCCCAGCCATGTGCATGACCTTGCACGCCGTCTATGCCACGCACGTGCGCCGGTTGGCCTGCCTGGCGAAGCTCATTACCTGGCGCCGCTTGTCGCATCTCGCCCCGCGCGCCCCCAGGCGATGCGTGGCCGCTGCACTACGCTACTGGTGGCGCACCGGCTGAGTACTGTGATGGACGCGGAGCAGATCCTGGTGCTGGACAAGGGCGTGGTGGGTGCAGGGGGCGAGGCGGGGGGGGGGCGGTGGCCTGTCTGCTTGCAAGTGTGTGTT